ATATATATACGTATAGAATTTTCCAAAATATAGTTAGCTGATAGATCTAGCTAATTCATATATATGTATATTTGTGTTTGATATATGTATATATACAATTTTTTTATTATTCGGTAAAAGAAGAGAAAAGAAAAATAATTTTTGTAAGCGTGTTTCGTTGGATTTTTTGATCTACAGAAAAATGTGTTTTTTATTTTATAAATAAAATCGAGATTTACAGAAAATTTTGTAGTTTTTCCCATTTGTGTGATGTGTTTATTTTTATTAGTAAATAGCTGCCGTTAATGAAGCTGACTCTACCTGAGCAGGTAGTCAATGGGTCTACTCACACGTGTCACCATGATTGAGCAAGCATAAGTAAACACTTTTTAGACCTCAACTAACTGACTAAGCATATTTAATTATATGTACTTGTGCATAACGAAGTAGCATTTGCGTATTTGTTTGGTTTTTTTTTTTGTACAAGCGTCGTTGCTAAGGTAAACCTGTTGTCGTTATATATGAATAAGCAATGATGACTCCTTTAATAATTCAAAAAGCCGTTAAGTTACGTTCATGATCGTGGGTGAGTTTTGGTATTTTTTCGCAATGCATATTAGTATATCTATCCAAGTGCACAGTCTGGTCACTCTATTTAGTAACGGAGCTGCCACACCACTATAAACAGTTGGCGCCAAATAGCATGCTCGCTCTTTATCGGAATTACTCAGCTAGATACAAGAAAATGTGCGACAGGCACTCCAGCATTTCGCGCTCTCTAAGAGCAAATAAGCATAAAATTGTGACGTCACTGAGCGACGTATGCAATGTGACGCGCTCCTTTAAATATAACTAAATGAAACAAAAGTTTCTTTAATCACCACCTCAGTAATGTTTGAAGACATGATTTCCTCAAATATATTGTAATTGTTAACTAAACAGTTATAAGGTATGGATGTACCATACGGATATAACTTTTGCGATACCTTGTAATTTTTTTGACATCATGAATTCTCTTGGCTTTCGTCGTTTTTCTTTTGGGTTTATTGTTTTTGTTGTCCGCTTAGTTTGATTTTAGACTTCCTTGTGTATGGTTGCTGCCGTTGTTGCTACGTTTGCGGTTCGGATATAATTTTTTGTTAAATTCCGATTCTTGTGCGTGGGATACGCGTGAGTTAATTCACAGTTAAAATCAAACAGAATCACCCAGCAGCAGCCAGAGAAATGTACTTAAGTTAAATTAATGCGAATAGTTTTCTAAATTATTTAAACGCGCGACGATCAGTGTGATATAGTATATGTGTGTGAATGTCAGCGTGTGTGTATGTGTGTGTGATTGAAATTCTAAAAATTTAAGCAAAATTCCAACGGTGCACGTTCGCTGAGTTCGCCGGCCTGAAATCATTGGCGGTAAGTTCGCATCGATTTTCTGTTAGCAACTTGTTGTGCACTCCCAGAATATGCATTCAGTGGTGAAAATTAGTCATCAGAGTAGTTGCTGCGTGGTTTTAATTTAAAAAAAAAAAAACGACAAAATGAAAAAAAAAAAAAAAAACGGTCTCCTGTTTCCCGCCGCGCCCAGCAACGCACCGCAAGAGTGACAGACAGGGAAGCAACAGCCAAAGTAAGAGAGGAAGAGAGTGCACGTGTATGGGGCGCGTAATTCGCTCTTTCCGTGTGTGCATGTACTTTATAAGGTTGCATGTGTGTGTGTGCGCGCTAGTGTGCGAGAATGAGAGTGAGAGCGCGTTAGCACGTACGTGTGCTGACTGCCCTTTTAAGAGGGGGAGGTCGAGGCGCGTTAATAACTGTTAATTACTGTTCAGGCCCGAATGAAAATATATATATACATGTACGTATATATATCTATGTATACATGTGCCCACAGTTAAAAAGAAACCCTTGCAAATTCCAATGTAAATTTCCTTAGTTCACTTACAAAAATAAAAACCACGATATGCAAATGCGGTCTCCGCTGTCAATTGCTTGGCACACATTCAGTTATGTCAATTCATATTTGTTGCATCATTTGCTGCCTCTCCCCCAGTCAACGTCGAACTGTCAAGTGCGATTGCGAGCGTGAACGCCTGCGCCTGCGCAGCCCTGCATTGCATTTTTGTTTTTGTCGATCACAACAAAAAAGTTTCACCTGTCAGCAATGCGGAAATCGTTGGCAATCGAACAGTGGGCAGTCGGCAGTCGGCAGTCGCTAGTCGCTAGTCGCTAGTCGCTAGTCGCCAGTCGATAATCGAAATCGCAATCGCAATCGCATTCGCAATCGAGTTCATGTAATGCAGAAGGTCAGCCAGTTAATGCGCCCATTAAGTAAAGCGAATGAAAGCTTGGATTTGTATTTATTTATTTATTTTGTTCGTCAGAGCTTTTGCAAATCTGATTTCAACATCTGTTTGCATTGTCTGAAAGCCATAGCGCATTAGCAAACATTGGGTAATAGTAAATATAATATATACAATTAGAATGGTGCATTGCGCTAATTGCATTCTTAGCTTAGCCTAACACTTGTAAATTGTAAAATCAATAAATAGAAACGAATTAACGCTAAAAACATTTGTTTATAGTCAACAAATGGGAAATCAAAAGTCCTAAGGTTCAAGTTCGCGTACAATTTGTTCACTCTCTCTTCTTTCCCGTCTGTCCTCTCTCACTCTTCCTCTCCCTCCGCCTCTGCCTCTCGGTCTCTCTGTTGCCACTCGACAAGATGTGCCGCTACTTTTTCAAGAGAGCTGACGCCGCTTACGCTGCGCTGCACTCGCTGCTAGCCAATTGGGAGAGCGTTCAAAATATCGTATCATATAGAAATTTCATTTTAGCACCGCAGCGTCCAAAGTCCAAGCCAACTGGCTGCCGAATCGGCTATACAGATACACACACACACACATGCATTCGTGTGCGACTGTTTGTTGTGTGTGTGTTTCTCTTGCGTGGTCTGCTGATGTCTGATGCCAACGTATGAGTATTTAAGTATCTGTGTGCGTATGTATGTCATAGATGTATGTATTATATGTAGGAGCATCTTATGCTTGATAAGCACTCTGTGGCACAGCTAATAGCTTGAAGTTCTTTCAACCGGTTTACCCACAAGAAATTAAATCTACAAGAACTTTCATTGCAAAACCATAGAAAAGCAAAAATATGAAATACCCTGTAAGATGTAACTAATGGAATTGCGCAAACAGTTTGGAGCTCGAAGAACCAGTAATGACTTGACTTTTAGTCAAAGTCAGTTAATGATTAAAGTAGTATGATATATCTAATTTCTAATGGCTATATAGTTAGATTATATCTAGTGCCGTATATGTAAAGCGTAACTGATCATCCTTATTCAACATCGTTTTCTAGGGTATTCAGAAGTGTTTTTTATTGAAATCGATCCGAATCTATGCTGTCTGTTGCGGCACGTTTTTACAGTTATTGTGTTTGACCACAAACATTTGAATATTACCACAAAGACAACAACAACAACAACAACAACAGCAACAACAAGAACAAAGTGAACAACTTGAACCGACCGGCCGAGAGGCCACCTGTTGCTCGACTATGAATACAAAAGATGCCGTTATATGGCAGTGGCTATAACACTTGACGGTTTTCGGTGATAATTTTGACCCCATAAGGCGTGGACTTTGCCTGTAACATATTTGCATATTATTTAAGAGAAAAATAATCAAAAATTGTTGGTTTTACAAATGTATATGTAAAATTTCCCTTTTAAGAGGCTTCGTTAGGGCAATCTGAACTGATCTTTGATTGTCTTGGAGTGGCTTACCCATTTTGGGTTTTACAAAAATTCAAAAAAGAAACAAAACTCGTTTAGGTTTATATAGCGAACCATCTGGAAGCTGTTGCATCCACATCTTTTGGGATTTCATTTTGCACTTTTTGATTTAAGTTAATAGCGTTGACTCAATTCCAAATTTTTCGCACATTAATTTGTCGGCCTTGGCGCGGGGCTGTCATTAATTATGTATTCACATGTAGTTTTGCTTTTTTTTTTTTTTTTTTGGGTATTTCGCTATGTCTGCAGCCAGGTGAGTTTCGAATTACGTTTGACACACTTGGCTTGTTTGGTTTTAGGCTATTATGTAAGTATTCGGTTGAACAAAAGGCTTTGACCTTATCCTAGATTTCATTTTAATTATTAATCGAAGTAGTTTATAAAAGGTTTGACTTTTTTACACTATTTCAACTAAATGTAATGAAGTTTAATACAATGCTTTTTTTTTTAAATAAATTGTTTTTGACTAAAAACTAATTGAAATCAAAAAATTTTAGAAAGTTTTCTTTTCTTTTTTTTTTTTTTTTACTAAAGACTAAATAAATAAAAATACTTTTCTTTTTAAACTGTCAAGCTACATAAAGCAATGTAAATAGATTTTTCAGAATTTAAAATATAAATTTATTTAACATTGAGTTAACTATAAATTGTATACATACATAGCCAGCTTTCACTGTACTAAGTGTGCATATACGTTAAATTCATAATTTTTTGATATGATAAGTGAAACTTTTCACCCAAATTGCATTTTTTGCCGCGTTTATCAAAGGACAGCTCGAACTCCAACTTGGGCAGTGAGTTTCAGTTACTTGCGCTTTCATTACAACATTGGCAAACCCAATAAACAAAAAACAAGAAGAAACAGATAAAGAAGAAGCCGAAGCAGAAGAGGCAACAAGTAAAGCTCGCTGCTAACTGCCTGGTTGGCGAATCGAACGATCGGCCTTTATTTAACTTTTGTAACGCTGGAATGCCAAGTATTTCAGTACAATTTTTGACTGCTGTTGGCTAGTTGGGTTTTTCGTTTTTTTTTTTGTCTTTTACTTTTTTGGCTGTAACGTCTTTCGTGGCCAAAAGCCGCCCAAGCGTCACGCACTTGAGCTTGTTTTGTTGTTTTGGGCGTTGAGCTACTTTTGGCCCGTTTAGCTGTATCTGCTGTGCTTTTATTTAATTTTTTGCGCTTACTTTGCGGCCTCTTTCGCGTCCGCCAGCCGGAGGGAGAGAGATGAGCGATATACTGACCGAATTGGTGCAATCAACTGAAAGATATTTATAAAAGTGATAAAATATGTAGTTGAAATTATATAGAGTTCTGAATGTCTTTGATATACTTTCCAACTAGAAATAACAATTGCTTATCTCTACACATTGACGTAGCAAATATTACTTACTAAGTAGTTCAGCTCAACTAGCTTTATTTTTTCTTGTTCATTAATTTGATTGCTCATCTCTATCGAAATCGTTGCTGAACTCATTTCATGCGCTAATTTCGGACGCATCAAAAATTAATTGACTGCCATTACAAACAAATACTCGCACGTATGTGTCTGTCTGTGTGTGTGCAGGTGTGTGCAGGTAGTTTTTATCGACCTCCATATGTATGCCCAACTCATTCATAAATAAAAAACCATCCACAACTACATAGCATCCACATGTAGCCTGCGAATACGCCATTTTGTTTGTATTTGAAATCAACGCCATCTAGTGCTAATAAGACCTGCATACATATGGTACAATGATTAAAAAAAAAAAATTAACAAAATTTACCATCAACAGCAGAAGCAGCAGCAACAAATTTTCAAAGTCAAACGAGTTGAGGGTCAACATTTTACATCCATTGCTCATCCTAGCAATTGAGACAGAGAGGGAGAGAGCGTGAAAAAAAAAAAACATATCTATTTCGATTCGGTATTTGCCGTAATCCACATGTGACCCTGAAATTTATTTGCTACGTGCTGTAGTTTCCGTTTTGTAAGAAAGCCAATTTGCTTTGATGTCTCTTCAGTGTGTTGTTTGTGTCTTTGCAATTAATTTTGCACTTGCCCCGCCTCTACGAAAAAAAGGAACACTAAGTTCAACWCACATGTATTATTTATTTATCTTTGACTTTGACCCGCTTCGCGTGGCATATTTAATTTCATGCAATGGGATAAGTAGGCGTCAAGCCGATAAACAAATATAGAGAGTGCTCGTATTGGAACTGCTCGACTAAGAGATACCGTTAACTTTTGACAAATCTCTGAGAAAAATGGGGTATTCGCAATTCCTAATATTCAATTCTTAATATTGCCTGTATTCATCACAGAAATCTCGACAGTAAATTTTAAAACTTTAATTTTTTGCAATAATCAAGTCATATTTAAAATCTTTCTAAAATTATCGATTAATATCGATAATAAAGAAACTCCAGCAACATCTGCCTATGTGAAGTCTTTAACTTTTACGATTAGAGATCGTACAAATCAGAAAGAAGGAAAGGGGCCAGATAATTGAGCAAGCAGATGATCGTCCTGATTTTTAGTTCATGAAGTCTGACTTCATAATTACATACATTATAAGGTATACAAATTTATCTTAAGATAACCTGTGACGCACAAGGGTACATAAATAATAATCAAATATTTAGAACTGGTTAATTTAGAAAATTATCTTAATTAAAATTTCTTTAAATCGTTAAGTCGCAGGTGTAAGGCACCCCTAAAAAAAACAGAAACACTCATATATATGTATTATTTATTAGCCAGTCTTTCTAATTGTAATTTTATAAACAAATTTATTCAAATTTTTGAATTAATTTGTTTGCTTTCAAAGCTGTTTATACGTATGCAATTAAATGTCACTATGGATCAAGCCACTTTATTTATTCAAATTATTGAATTAATTTTATTTGTTTGTACTTATGCAATTAAAGGTCGCTAAGGATCACTTCTAATCTAATCGCAGCGCTGCCAGATGCTGTGAACTCATCAAACGTCCAAGTGGCAACGCCGCATTCAAATATAAATGTGCGCATAGAATGATTTGCATATGGATTCTATAAAAGATCTGCTTATGAAATTAGTAGAAAGCAATGCGTCGCCAAGGCCTAGACTGGGGCGACTGACTCGATGCCGATAAGCAACATAACGCATGCAACGTAACGGTTTTTGAATGCGTTGTATTTCTGTTGCTTGCATTCAAACGAGTTCAAGCTGCAAGTGGCTCTCTCATCAATACACACACACGCACTTACACATACATACTTATGTACATAAATGAAAACTGGGCTTTCTGTGCCTTCATTCTTCAGCTCTCAGTCAACATTTTGCTGATGCTGTAACATTTCTTTTGCACACCTGTTGTGAACCATGTGGCACACTTAGCCAACTGCCATTCGAAGAGTTTATAAACAAATATATATACTTTATAAAAATGTTATATATGTGCATATAGACATTTGTGAACAATCATAAGCCGGAAAGCGAAAGTAATTTTGTTAGCAGTTGGCTCTAATGGCCGCCAGCGCTGCTACGCTGGCCAAAAACGAACGCCTAGACAAATGGCCAGCAGCCAACGCCAGTTACATCAACAGTCAACATTGCCGCAGAAGATGGCGACTTGCCACAAAATGCCTTAATTCACATATAAATGCAGACATACTGACATAATTATCCATGTATTGGTGGCTCAGTCTGCCTGTCTGTCTGTTTGTGTGTGTGCGTTTATTTTCTTCTCTTTGAGCCGCTGTCGCTGTCGCTGTGGCTCTGGCTATGGCTGTTGCTATAGCTTTTGCAATGCAAGCAGAGCTCAGCATAAACAGCGACTGACTGACCACCGGCAGCAACACCAACAGCAACAGTAACAGCAACAGCAACGGCAACGTCAACTTTTGTTGGCCACTGTGGCAATCGCGCGCTCAGTTGTAATTTTGGCACGCTGGCCAACGGTTCAACAAGCGGTTGATCTGCGCCGTCGACTTTAGTCCGGTTAAGTGATTTCAGCTTTTAAAGCGATTAATAACGCTTTTAAACAAGTCTATAAAAGAAAAGAGTTATTTTGATTTTGCGTTGCTCTTTGCACTATTCTCGATTTCTTTTTTTTTTATTATTAATAAAGGGCCCGATTCTAGGGTTCTCTTGTCGCGCGCTCTTTCTCTTCTTAGTTTACGCTCTCGATTCGCTCGTTAGGGCATGATTCACCGTAAAGCTGTGTAATCGGTCTGCTCGTGCGCGCACTCACTGATCGATTCGGCACGTCAGTCGTGGTTGTCGTTTCTGCTGTCGTCGTTGTCGCCGTCGCTGCCGTCGCTGACGTTGTCGTTGTTGTTGTCGTCGCCGACGTCTGATAAGGTTCACAGGCGCATCCAGCGAGCCGTCAGTTGGCTTAAAAGCGTGCAAGGCAAAGCATCGCGTTAACGAAACGGTAAACGTTACCAAAACCGTTAAGTGTTTGTTGTCACGGTGTGTGTGTGTTTATGTGTGTATGTGTGCGGCCAATGTTTCTGTGATTATCTAATCGTCGTAAACACAGCAAAATACTTACAAACATATATAAAACCAACATAAATACATAATTAAAAAAAGCCAGGCCAACGCCAAAAATAATAATAACAAAGAAAAACGAACAACTTTCCAAAATTAAACATACATACAAACACATTTATATCAAGAAATAAGAAACTATAACGAATATCACAAAAAGTCAGGTGCGTGGTTAAACTAACGAACTTTGTGGCCAAGCTGGTCACTGTAGTAATTGTAGTTACACCTGAGTGTGTGTGCTTTTTTGTGTGTGGTAGTACGTGTGTATGTATGTGCATGAAATTCGCATTGTATAATCACAGCAAATACTCAAAACGTGCTTTGCCTGTAAAACCTAACTCTGTTTTAGGGCACCTTGCAAAACCAAAATTTATAAGTCTGTATATGTTTATCAAATGTTAACCGGCTTTCCCCGGTCAACAGGCAGTTTGAGTACAATTTATGTTTTATTCTATGATGTTAAAAATTGTACATTTATAAAATGTTGGCATTTTTAATGTTAAACATTTTTTATTTTGAATATATGCCTGTGATCTTCAAATTTTTATATTCAACAAAAAAAATAAATAAAAAAATAAAAACATTAAATTATTTTTGAAAACCCGTTAATTTATTTAAGCAATTTAATTGGTAGCATAAGTATATCAGTATGTAACTCTTGTGATCAAAATATTTCTATGATCCCGAAAACTTTAAATTAAATAAATTTAACTATATAAAAATATTTATAATTTATATAAATGCCTTTAGCATTTTTCGTAGAGTTCCCGAGATTCATAGCTTTTAAAGTTGAGCTCAATCCACAGTCTATTTATTATCTATCAGAGTCTATCGTCTTAGAGCTTAAGCTTAAAAACAAATCGTTTATTCATCTATCTATAAGGGACAACCATTTTATTTATACACATATTACGCATTCGTCTATATAAACTCCACTAACTGCATGATGAGACAGTTTGTTATTGCTTCCCAATAACTGTTTATTAGTCACTCTGTTAACTCTATTATCAGTTTTTTTCGCTATCATTTATTTTACCGCCCCTGCCTCGTTTTTTTTTCAATCATTTATTAAATCCAAATAATGGGCAAAAACCCCCAAACAACAAAATATGGTAGCATAAAATATCAAAAGCCCTGGCAGCCCAATTGGCACTGATAACTGCTTGATTATGGCCAATTAGCAAACGGCGCTTGCGACAAGGCCAGGTGCTTTGGGCTTGATTCAAATTGGCCAACGATAAGATTGTAGATCTCATTACCGATCAATCGATTATCGATTAGCATAGAAATCGGCCTAGGGTCTTGTGACTCAGCTGATTACGATTAACGGTTTTTAGTGGTTTCCTCGTTTTGGCATGCGTTATAAGGCTATCTATCGGGTATTCCACTTTGGCACTTGAGCACGCCGCCAAAGCTCTATCCCAGCGTCTGTCTGGTCGCCGTTGCATGTGCTCAGCGAGATTTTACGCTCAATTAAGTTTTCTGAACGAGCGATTAGGCCAGATAAGGCACATCACTAAATAACAATAGTTCGCATAACCTAATAGTCGCGAGATAGATAAACATATGTGTTTGTATATGTGTGTATATGTATGTGTGCTTGTGTGTGTATATATAGAACACGCCCACACTAGTTAATGTAACGCCCTGCGCGATTAGATCAACAAACTTGAAACTATTTTTGTTTCGCGTTTTAAGTTTTAAGTGAATGTTTTTATTAACATACCCTGTACTAGTTTTAAATGTGTGAAGAGGGCATGTCAATTTGCCTAGAATGCTAGCATATTTATTTATATTGTTGATTATCTAGAGAAATGTTGGATTGAAATGCAATGGAATCGGAATAACCTTGATATCCCTTGGGCTCTTTTCTTGAGTTTATTTCATGGCTTAAAAGTATATACCTAAGAAACTTATATAGAATACATTGATGATTTTATTATTTGTTAGCATATATCTTATTGCTTAGCTTAAAGCTGATTCTTAAATCACGTTCAAATTTTTACTCTCTGAACATCATCTACTCAAAACTTCAATATGACATGGACATCTGTCGAAATAAATCTTAAAGTATTACCAATCTATGAACATAGCTAAGCTCTATTTGTTTGCAATTATAGATTTGAAACAGGCTATATGCTAGTCTGATATGCTCGTTTCGCAATCTTCCACTTGTTATTTTCGTGCTCTAATTAATATGGGAAATATAGCAACAACAGCAACAACAACATCGATGACATCCACAATGCTGCATGTTAACATTTGCGTGCCGTGCTCCACATCCTATTGCAACACCCAGTTCTCTTTGATTMAATTGCCCCGCAGTGGAGCCTGCTGCACACAGCCGGAAGCAACAGGCGTCTGCCGTGTGTGGGGCATGCGTCGTGCAGCAAGCCCTGCTGGTGGGTGCCACCCGAAGGTGGCGGCGAGAGGGCTGCGCCCTCTCTCTCTCTCTCTCTCTTTCTGTTGTCTATGTGTGCTGCCAGTTGCATGGCTCATTGATTGTTCGCTTGGGCGCCGACAATGACGATGACGTCGTTCGCAGTGACACAGCAAATGTGAAAAAAAAAAAATAAAATAAAAAAATAAAAAAAATAAATAAAAAATAAAATAATAAAGGGAAAAATAAAAGAAGAAATTAACAAACAGGAAAGAACGGTTATCATTGAAGCGTCGAAGATAAAATACACTTGCGAATTCTCTTTAAAGCCCAAAGTACTTAAAAGAGAAGCGATTAGTCATCTCATATACATATGTATATAAATATTTTTTGTGATAAAAATGGTTTTATTTGCATGCCTTTCAAGTGCTTATTACTTATTTTGCAGACTCTGCACCCATTGAAATGGGAAATTCTATGAATATTATAAATAGGCGATAGAAATGCATAGCAAACAACTTTTGATAGGTTTATAACGAAAAGCAAAAGGGAAAAATAAAATTCTAAATCATATACAGTATAGCCTCGTAAATAAATATAATTTTTATTAAATTTTTGTGAATGTTCCCTGATCTTATAAAATAAGAAATTGAAATCTAAATTATAAAAATAAATTAAAAATTTAATTTAATTTATGTATTTATTTAAATTTGAATCATAATTCAAAAACTTCAATAATATGTATTTAAAATACTCGTCGAAATTCGAACAATTATTTGCATTACAAGTATTCGATAACAATAAACCGTATTATTAACGAAATACGGAATTTAAAAAAAAGTATTTTTGGCAACAAAAAAATAAAAAATAAAAAAATATTGCCAAAAAAATTACAGTTATTTGTAAGAAAATGCAATAAAATAAAAATTTTTAAATCTAACATTTTCTTATTTTTTTTTTTCAGTTATAATTTCCTATAAGAATAGCATGCATAAATTTTTATAATAATTTTCGTATATATTTTCAACATGTATGCTGGTTATAAAGGCTAGCTAGTATTCTGTCCTGTTATTTAAGTGATAGTACGCAAATGCTGATGTTTTTTAAAAATACCTAAATGACTTTAGCTGACCGACAAACTGAGGTCGACCCTATCTCCGTAGTGTATGCTAAAATAACATCATCGCCCGACACTCGTCGTCGCTTTCGCATGCGCCACGCCCCAGCGTGCGGTGCCGCCCGTTTGTTTGCCAATTTTTATTTGCTCCACTTTGAGTTGTAATTCTTCTTGGCTTATTATGTAAGTCAAGATGAGCAGTGGTTGTTGTTATTGTTGTAGATGTTGTTGTTGTTGTATATGTTACCTACCGAGATTTACGATGCCACAGCCCATAATTGTTTACCTTGACAATTTGAACTGTCAACTGGGTGCGAGATAAAACGGACTGTGACGAAGCAATAGTCACTGAGTCAATCATTCAATCAGTCAGTCAGTCAGCCAGTCAGTCAGTCGGTCAACCAACCGTGGTGCTGGCCGTGCCCATCAATTGCGCCTCTCTTGTCAATATTTCATAAGTCGCAGCAACAAATTTATTGAGTTGTTTAGCTTGGAGGCTGCTGCACGCACGCCTTAAAAAAAAACTTGCCACTGACCCACACAACAAACAACAGACAACAACAACAGCAATAAATTGCGACAACTGTTGAAGACTCTGGCAACGGTATTCATATAAAAAGAGAAAAAGAAAGAAAAAAGAGCTACAACCCACTGACTAGCGGCACATTTTTTCTTTTTCTTCTTTTTTTATACCCTGAACCCATTGAAAATGGGAAATCAGGGTATAATGGTTTTGTTGAAATGTATGTAACAGGCAGAAGGAGGCGTGGCAGACCCGACAAAGTATATATATTCTTGATCAGGGCGACGAGCTGAGTTGATTTGGCCCTGTCCGTCTGTCTGTCCGTCCGTCCGTCCGTCCGTCCGTCCGTCCGTCCGTCCGTCCGTATGTATGAACGCGTCGATTTCAGAAGATATAAGAGCTAGAGACTTCAAATTTTTTTTAAAATGTCCGTAATTACAGCGCGCATATCAAGTTTATCATTAAAAATCGATAACTCATCCCGATCTTTTTTTATCGATAAAAAACCTTATCGAAAACCAGTTATAAAATTATATCTTCTACACCTTTATTGCTAGAGTCTCCAAATTTTTAATGTNTGTATGTGTGCATAAAAGAAGTGCAGAATGATTAGAATATCAGCTTGGAGGGTTCAGGGTATCTCCTAGTCGAGCAGTCTCGACTGGAGCTTTCTTACTTGTTTTTTTTTTTGTCAACGATTGAGCCGATTGAGCAAGCGGCGCTTACGTCGACATCTGCACCACCATCTCCACCGGCAGCAACAGTGCCCCATTGCCAGTCATTGCTCATGACATTCAAAACAAACTTCGAGTGGCCACGGCTCACGAGTACATTGCCTTTGAATTGGCATTAGACAACGTCAACGGCAACGACGACGACATCAACCACGGTCATGGGACTCGGTGGGGCAGCAGCTGTGGAAGGCCGTTGGAGCATGTGCAAAAACAAAAGCAAAGAAAAAAGTTGTCCGGTTTAGAAGTCAATGAATTCTTATAAATTCAAGTCAATTGCTGAGAATTATTTGGGCAGTAAAACAAGTGCAAGTGTAAGACATGTGTTAGCTGAGGGTATGCTAGACTTGCAGATACCCGTTAGCATACTTGCTTGAATTATGACGTATATATCTTTGCTCTCTAAATCTAAATCCATTTCAATTTGCATATATGTCTTATATAAAATCTTTCATAAGGTAGCCTGATTTAAAATTGTTTAATTTCTAACTATTATGGACTCAATTGTTACAGCCCAATCTTTAGATCTGTTTCACAACTGTTTACACAACTGAATTATAATTGTTGATGTTGCTTTTTTCTCATAACTAGTCAAATCGGACTTTAATCGACCTAAAACTAAACCATTAAATGGCCAAATGTTATCTGTGTTTATCACAGTCATTAGCGCAGTCGACTGTAAAAAATGATGTTGTTTAAATTCAGCCATAAATTGCCATATTGAAAGATAAATTGATAGGAATTGATGTTCAAGTGTTGCTTCTGTTCAGTTTTAACTACAAAATAAATTTGCAATCCAATTTGCCAAAACTTGATTTATAAATTGCAAACATTTTTCAAATCTAAATAATTTAAAATTCAAATTTGTTCTTTATTAGTGTTGATCCTAAAACGGTTATTTATTCATTAGCACGACAATATCATTAATATATTATCTGTTGAAGATTGTTTTAAATTATGATGAAACCGATTTCATTCTTCTAGCTGGCAAACACGTTTAGAACACATTCGTTTCTTTGTTTTGAAGACCTCCCATTTGACCCATAAATGTATGCATATGTATACGTATGTGTCATTCGCATTCCATCACAAATCTGGGCAGTCAAAGTCGGTTGCACTTGAAGCAAGGGCGATTAATGAACGGAATTCCACATGCCACCCACAAATTGGGTGAGGTCGCAGCTTCCGTTGCGGTGCATATAGTGTAAACTCTTTGTCTATTCATTGCCGTTTTAATGCACGGCCAATTATACAAATTATAATATAATGTTAAATTGTGCAATCCATATAGTAAATTCCGCATCGATCGATTCGTACTTTGAGCCCACGAGCTGGGCTCAGCTGGGTGAGCCTGGCTTACCTTTCACACCTATTAGTATTGATCGCTCAATTGAATAAATTAGCGTTAGTTAATTTGTATTCCTTGTTGTAATTAACTTGGGGTTTTACATAGTCTCGACGCAACAACAACAACACCAACAGYAGCAACAACACTTATTTTGATTTGTCATGGCAATTTGACTTCCTTAAACATTTCATGCCTTTCATTAATTGCCTCACTTTTATTTTTACCAACTTATATTGTTTATTTATGGCGCTGTAAATTTTCCGGGTTGTTTTATGCCTACGTAAAACTTTTTGGTTAGAGATTTTTTTTGAAAATCTTTTTATGGGCACTAGATCACTGTGATCTAATTAATGTTTAACTAAGAAGCAAATAATATATAATAGATAGTTAGCAAACTTTGTTGCTTGAAATTCGAGATCATTTCGAAACCCTGGACTGATTTAATTTGGAAAGTACAGGATATAATGCCGGCGGGAAAGAGCCTATGAAATATATGTAGTCATGATCAGGATGTCGAATTAAGTAGATCTAGTTTGACGTAAACTTTTATTTGTATATCCCTGTATTAAAATTTTAATAATTAATAAAATATTTTATTTGATTGATTTTTGTTTCTTTTTCCTATATGTATATTGTGTGCTGCACACATCATTTTTTGACAAATATACACACATACATGTGTAGATATTATTATCAAGCTCAGAATATCTGATTACCAAAGCTTATCTAGAACAGCAAAAGGTTATGCAAAAAGTGAATTTCCTATATAAAGTTCACATGTGCGTGTGTGTGTATCTGTATGTATGTGTGTGCTGCTTTATATGCCCGTACAAAAGAAACGCAGAAAAGTTGATATCAATTGGAACAACTGGGTATTTGGTCGAGAAATGATATTGAGTTAGTAGTATACATATCTATTAGTTTTCGTAAGGAAAGTGGATATTGCAAAAAATAATTAGATATAGTATTTATGAGACACAAAATATTAAAATGAAAAAAAAAAAAAAAAAAAAAAAATTAATGAGAGTTTAAAATATTATTAACATAAATTTAGATATATGTATGTATGTATTATTATTATATATGATATACTCATACTGATAATCGTCATTTTTACAGCAGCTCGCGGCATCTACAACACCTGCAATAACAGCCACAACATGGACGTACTCATGCATGATGTGTTGCACTGGTATAGAGACCTGATGGACAACAAAAGCGGTTCGTAGACTCTAAACTGGGGACTGTGGCCATTTATTGATTTTGTTTCATTTCACCCATGCAGATCCGCGCGTCAAAAATTTCTTTATGCTCTCCTCGCCTCTGCCCACGCTGTTTCTGTGCCTCTTCTATGCATATTTCAGTAAATCTCTGGGGCCGCGGCTAATGGCCAATCGTAAGCCGATGGATCTGCGCAAGGTGCTCGTCTACTACAATGCGGTGCAGACCATCTTCAGTGCGTGGATATTTTACGAGGTAGAGCACGGCAACGAATGATTGATAAAAAGAACTGAAAGTGAATTGATATAAATATATATGTATTTTATTTGAAATAGTACTTAATGAGCGGCTGGTGGGGCCACTATAGCTTAAAATGCCAGCCCGTCGACTACAGCAACAGTCCCATGGCCATGCGGGTAGGTTCCGATCACTGTTCTATAAATCAATCGATTGTTATATTACAACGGCTTTCACTTTGTAGATGGTCAATATCTGCTGGTGGTATTACATATCAAAGTTCACAGAATTCTTTGACACGCTCTTCTTTATACTCCGCAAGAAGAATGAGCACGTATCAACGTTGCATGTCATACACCACGGCTGCATGCCGTTCTCGGTGTGGATGGGCCTTAAGTTTGCACCGGGTATATATCAACACACCCACTCTCTTTGTACTCTATAATAGTTCTCATATCTGATGTTTTATTTTCTCCATTTACAGGTGGTCACAGTACTTTCTTTGCCCTGCTCAACTCGTTTGTACATATTGTTATGTATTTCTATTATATGATTGCTGCCATGGGTCCAAAGTATCAGAAGTTTATCTGGTGGAAGAAATACCTAACCACCTTCCAAATGGTATGGAAGTTTAGCTCTCATTTTAATCCAAGACTTAACTGATCTATTGGCCAATTCTACTTCTTTTTACTACAGGTGCAATTTGTGGCCATATTTACGCATCAGTTCCAGCTTTTGTTCCGCGACTGTGATTATCCCAAGGGCTTCATGGTCTGGATTGGACTGCACGGCGTGATGTTCCTATTCCTATTCTCTGATTTCTACAAGGCTAAGTATCTGAATGCAAAGCGTCGACGCCGCGAGGCAGTCAAAGTCAATGGCCATGCCAATGGCGTCTACACGAATGGCAAAGTCAAGCATTTAGGCAACGGAGATGCCCCGCTCCCTGCCAATGGCACCAACAAGGGTGCCTGTATGGTGAGTTCTACTGCTATCAATTTTTTGCAATTGCAAAATAAAGAAAACAAACAGATAGATTGAAATTACAAAAACAAAAAAATACGAAAAAAATTATAATGCATAAACAAACGTGTGGCGTAGGTAAGCAACATTAAATCAAGTAGCCCTTGAAAGTTATTAGCCGTGGCTAAACACACAATTCGACGCCCGTTCCCAAGTGCTGGCACCCCCAGGTGAGGCGGGTGAGATGTCCAGTCTAGTGTCTGTGTGTGCATACTAGAGTTGGGTGCGTATCGTGTATCGTGCATGACACGACGCGTTCGATAATTCAATCAATTTTTAAAGTAATAAATATGATAACAAATTCAATATTAAGAGTAGAAGATTTGGCAAAATCAAAAAGTGGGAAAAACTCAAAGAAAAAATCTACATTTTTTTTTTAAATTTAACTCTTGAATATAAGTTTATTTTCATTCATATCAGCATTTGGTTAAAAAATATATATATATAGGTGGCACCAAAAACATTGAATTCATTGTTAACAAAAATCTAAATTTAAGAAGCAAAGAAGAAACAAAAATTTTGTGTATTCCCAAATTTGGTTTTTTAATAGGCTTTCGAGTCTTTCGTGTAAGACAAAGGTTAGGTAGCGCATCTCTAGCACATACATTCAAGTGCGTAGTTGTATTATCAACTAAAAAATTCTAACTAGCTTAGTTAAGCAAACAATACACTCACACACACCTAGTCACAGACACTCATACACGCGCGCGCACAGCACTTGCAAACTCTCAACACTACGCGGGGGACGTTTCAATTAGCGAGAACATGCGAAGCCGGATGCGAAGGCCCAATCATATTGGCTGCTGGCCATTAGCAAGGCACACAGCGCTTGAACTCTAGCTAGAGACCTTAGAGTAACACTGCAAGGGGGGCACGTGCTCGGCAAAAAAAAAAAAAATAAATAAAGTAGCGAAAAAGTAAAGCATCGACTCAAATTAATCGCATCTATTTTCAATTGGTCAATTGCAGCCCGTTTTGGACGATGAATATGTGAATAGCAACGGGCATGCGAATGGCTTTAAGGATGGTTACTTCAAGGAGGGCGTACTCTCAACCAACGATGCCATCTTGAATCCGGACAGCAGTAGCTCTAGTCTGCACCAGCGCAAAGTCAAATAACTACTACTAAGATCTACTACGATGATATTCATAATATTAATTTTAAGTGTTTAGCGTGTAACCGAACCAGATCCGATCGCGAATCGAGCAGATCGTAACAGGCTAAGGGCAGTATAGAAATGCATCCATGCATTTATGACCATTGGCGACAAAACAAAACAAAACAAAACAAAACAAACAAAAAATTAATAAAACATTATCTGATTTTAATAATTTATAATATAAATATATATTTATGTAAAGGCAAGCCAGATGTTAGTGTTTAATGAGAAGTCACATATATTATTATATATACATATATACAAAATATGCATATATACATATATAAGTAGGCAGACCAAGAACCAGAACCAGGGAACCTCCATTCCCTCCACCAACAAGACCATCAGCACCCACTGTAGCCGAAGCCGTCAAGTAGATTAAGAATATGTAAACTGCTTAAGTAACTAAATAACAACTAGAACAACATTAACTGTTTAATATCAAACATATTACTCCCACATATTACATGTATATGAACACGCACCCACATAAATGGACACATATTTTTTGTAAAAATATTTTTGTAAAATCAACTTGTAACTCCCGATTTGTGGCGTATGTTAAATTGTCAACATATATCATTTCTATACGATAGGGCATTCACCACCCACACACAACCATATATATATAATTAATTACACACATATACACACTCATATACACATATGTATACACATGCTAGGCATTACCTTTTATATGACCATTTTGGATAACATAATGAGACGTCAACCTAACGATAAAAGATACAAGAAAATATGCTCTTAAGCCTGCTTTAAACTTAAACGTTAAACTATTTGTAGCTTGTTTTTGTATAATGAGAGTTGGAGAAAATATTTGTTGCAATATTTTGTAAATGGTCTAATGATAAAAACCTATATATAGTGCGATGTTGTAGTTAGCTAGCCAATTGCGTATAAGAAAAAGAGAGAAATAACAAAAAGAAGAAGAAAAACCAAACAAGAAACATTTAAGAATGGTAGCACAAAATGCAAATGCTGCGAAAAACAACAAAACATTATGGAAGAATAGCTTTAGCCTTTAAGTGCGAAACAGCTAAAGGAGCAGACAATCGGTTCGGCGTTGAACCCCATTTAAAATTTAATGAAACAAACAAAAATTTAATGCACAATCCTAACAATAACAGCAAAATCATTGATACGTCATTGTTTAAGTTCATGATTCATGTATTGTTTTTAAAAAATATTTCAATTCTCGGTGTGGCTTATGTGCGTATATCTATATATATTAATTTCTTTGTATATTTGTTAATCTATGTATTTTGGTTTTGTAAATGTTTAAAACGATTTTTAGAAGTTATTTGTACTACAGTCTGTTAATCTGTGCGTTGGTTTCTTTGTTAAGTTGTGGTTTAAGCTGACAAGTTCAAAAACTATGGAAAACATGAGAAAAAAGCTTATTAATTTATATTAAAGAAATATGAACAAAACTTGCGTTTTTATTACGATTGGGGAAAAGGATTTAAGAACTTTGAAGTACTTAAAATTATATTTTTTATTATATTGGATTGTATTTCAAGAATTTAGTTAGCTGTTGGATGTTGATGTCAAGCTATGACTAGATATTTGCTTACCCATTTCAACTAGATTTATTTTGTTAAAACTCTTTGGATTTTGTCCAAATTTTTTATAGGTTTTATTTGTATAACTTTTGTTATCTTATAGAATATGGCAAATACATATTTAATATTAGTTTATACAAATATTATATATTGTATGTCACCATGTTATATAAATTATTGAAAAATTATTTATTAAATTATTATTTTAGTGCATAGTTTTAGGCATTAAACATAATTGCCAAGGGAAGGGAAAACCCAACACTAATTAGTTTAGTTTATAATTTGACCAGGGTATTTTATGCGTCGAGCATACCCTAGCTATCATTCAAATCACTATCATTAAACAATTATCATTGTAAAAATGTATTCACACTACTACCCCAGCTATGAAGCTATGAAAGTGCCAAGTTTGAAGTACAATTACCCAAGTTTGAAGATGATTTGATTGCCTGCAGCGCGACAAGCAACACCAAGTGGGTGATATCAAGTGCACCTTTGTCTAACCTGTGCGGGGGCTGCCTTGCTGGACTTGCTGACTTGCAGTAAATAAACAAATACAAACAAATCGATTAGCACGTCAATATCAAGTCAATAAAAATCGGAAATGTGCATATATTGTTGGATTTCCACGATGCTGCCGTTTTCACAGCTCGTGGCGTCTAGCTGGGCGACTGCACGGGGATGTACGTTGCACTAAAGTGCAATCGGGATGGGCTGATAGGTAAGTGGGTAGACAGCGTAGGTTATTTAGCGTGCTTGACTAGCTGCGCGACTGAAGGAGCTGAATTAAGTAAAAGTTGGCTGAAAAATAAAAAACATTAATTTGTTGGCTTAACATAAAAATTAATGATTACTTCATATACTAATTATTGGCAAACACAAGTGTAATTGTTGGCGGCAGCTGGCAAATATTTAACTCGCTATTTGACCTTGACGACGCAACTTGTCAAGCGACGCGTCGCTTTGGCCGCAGTTTGCCCAGCTAAAATTTGCGGCACGAGAGCGGGTGGAGTAGCTGCCGCGAATGCTAATGCTAATGCTAATGCAGCATTACACTGCGTCATACTCAAAGCCTATTAGATAATCGCTAGAAGCTGACCTGCTGGCTGGTTAAGTTCGTAGCTTGGGTTGATTGGTCTGATCAAACACTTGACGAACGTTACGTCGTGCGCCACCTGTTGTTGTTCACTTGAACTTTAGTTGCCAGTTCGGTCGAGAACAGGAGCGCACCCTGGGCCAAAGCAATTAGCGTGTATTTACACTGTCCCATGTGCACTTAAGCTGGGCCGCTGGGGCTGGGTGAGGGGCGGGATAACTAACTGAACTGGTAGTTGCATTACGGAAAGTTTTCAGTGTTTTTTTGCGCTGTGCATTTATGCATTTTGCTGTTGTTGTTGTTGTGTCGTACGTTTCCACATCCAGAAGCTTTTCAAAAGTTTTCGGCTTAAGTTCTGCGCCTGCTCGCCAGCTGTTGCTGCTGCTGTTGCCGCTATGCAGCTTCGGCAGCGCTGCCAGCGCTGGCGTCACCACTCGCAAGTCTCGACGTCGCCGTCGCAGTGACTGCGCAGTGGCGTCCGTCGCATTGCGCGTTTAACAGCCGAATCGCTCAATTTTTGCTCAGTTTGATTCAGAAGTTTAGCTTAAGCACGTCTCGGACGCTCGGTCAACAGTCCCGCTTAGCAGCTCATTAGCCAATTGCGAAAGATTTTGCGATTTTTACAAAGTTCTTGTGAAACATTTACGTATGTTTGCACACTCAGCCATACATATGAGCATATAGCTATTTCTACCTTGTCCGTGCGTTATTTGTGTTGTGGTTTTTGCGGTTTTTCAGTTCCAGTTTCAATTGACTGCAGGCAGGAGCAGCGGCCCCCAGAAGCAGCAGCAACAGCAGCAGCAGCAGCAGCAACCCCAGCACTAGCACAGCACCGATCAGCAGTGGCGGCAATAGCGAACACTGAAATTGTTGGTAAGTTTCCCCACATACGTTTTGTGCTATTACTTCTTTTGCAACTGTTATTGTTGATTTGTTGAACAGGCTGGCAGCACTGTGCGGAATATCGCATTGCCAAATATTATAAAGCAATCAGAAATCTAATACTCATACAGCCAAAAGTAGCGAAAACAAACTCGATGATAAATGATAAACTAACTACATAAGTTATGTACAGACAGTACTATTATAGCAAAGTACATTATATTCAGGTTTCCAATTCTAATTAACAAATACCAGTTTTTCTCTTTGCCAGTATTAAACTTGCAAGTTAACCCATATAAATTTCGGTTAGCAAAACAGATCTGAGTTATGGCAAAAGAATGTGCCAGTCAACAATTTTTGAGTATAGTTTGCAGTATTGTTTTCTCTTTTATGATCCATTTGCTTGGTACTTATTTTTTGTCTGTGCCGCTCAACAGCTGACTTTTGTTTACATTGATCGAGCTAATCAGGGCTGCAATGCAATTCATATGTTCTTTTTTGCATGTCAGCCGCTTGACATGGCGAGTTGATTACATTATGTTAACCATACATGTATATTTATTTAATTTGCTGAAAGTTCAATTCGAATGTCTGTTAAACTGTAAAATATATTTCTTGAAAGACAAAAAGAACAACAAAAAGTGGTAATTAAAAATTAAGATTGCATGTTGAAATTACCACGATCATTATATTCCATGCAGTAACATTATTACGAGTCGACAACATTCTAGGGCTAAGAGATATGACCAGCTCTTGTAATTGCCAACAGGCCTGCGTTAACAGATTGCTTACATTATGAACTGCAAAAAAAAAGATAAAAACAACAACAAAGCAGTAATGAAAAAATCCCGCCACAAATTAACCTGGGCTCCATGCACAACCTTGGACTTGACTTTTGCCACTGATGGGCAACTGATTACCTGCTTGCTTTACCTGTCTGTCTGTCTTGCCTGCCTGCCAGCTCGATGTCACATTATGTCTTTTGTTGTTGTGCAGCCGGGAGCTATTGTTATAGTTGTTATTGTTATCGCCATGTCTTAAACAACTTTTGGAACAACTTTCAAGCATTTATTATGATGGAGCTGGGAGGATCGTAGAATATTTTATGGCTAGCACATCCCTTTTCTGTGGTCTATCAATCTGATTCACTTTCAGTTCGATGTTCACTTCCGTATTGCTAATTTAAGCACAGAATTGATTAAAATCCTTAATGGCTTGTTAAGGTATGCGCTGCATGTCTTTACGACCGGGTTCCTGGGATTTTTCCGCCAGAACTTTTTATACAAACACAAGGCCCCGACGCGAGAGTTCGTAAGGGGCAGATCTCTTCTGGTTAATAATTGCATATTATAGTCTGTTGCTGGCAATTGAATCGAGGCAAATTTTCGCTTTCAAATGGTT